ATGAAATTGCTCACCGCTCAGGTTTTATTTACAACGAGTCGTATTAAGTCGCCTCGTTAGTATAGCTCTCGAATATAAATTTCAATTAAAATTATTTTCGAGTTATCAATTTTAGTAATTATTTAAAGAATTAATCGTTTTATAAACTTGACATACTTTCAATACTTTCGGCGGCTAAATATTTAAAATTTTTTCCTGTAAAAATCAATATTTGGTTAATTGTTAAATATTTAGTTTTGTTTAAGCTAATATTAAAGAATTGATTTTATTTTTTATACGAGTTCTTAATTATCAGATTATTTTTTTATTAAAAAAAATTTAATTGCCCGGTCATTAATTTTTTAAAATTATTTTATTGATTTTAACTCAAATAAAATTAAATTGAGCTTGAATCTATTTTTATAAATTTTAATAATTTTTTTAATTAATTAATTCCTGAGTAAAAAAATTAATAAAATTATGCAATAAAAAATTAAATTAAAAAAAAAAATATTTTTTTATCTCCAAAATTTTTTAATTTTAACTTTGGAAAAAATTTATAAATAAATTTTTTAGACTGATAAAAATTTAGATAAAAATTAAAAATAATATTAATTTAATTTAATAAAATAAAATTGTTATTATTGTTATAGCATGTTAGTAAGGTGTTAATCTTTTAGCAGCAGTTTCGCGATGTGTTAGTAAACAAAACAAAAGAAAACAAACAAAACCGGGTAAGTAAGTAACGACTAACTGCAGTATAGTAGTAAACGTGCATACATTTGCAGAGTATACAAAATAGCAAGTGAGAAGAAACGAGAGTCACTCGAAAGCGGTGGACAGAAGTGAACCTGTCGTCGGGTCGTGACGCGACAAAACGACAAAACTCTTTATGTTCTTTAGCTTCAGCCTGAGCTCTCCACTTTGTTTTGCTTATTCGCTTCGCTACTCGTATTCGGGTTAGTTTATATTGCTTTCCTTTCGAAGAGTTGCTTCTTTATTTGTTCTCCGAGCTATCAGACAAACTGTAGACTGTGCTGCTAAAGTGTATTTAGTTTACGAGCATGGAAAATGACAGCGTTTAAATTGACGAACAAAGTGGGTGGTTTCCTCTTAAACACTTTTTCCTTTTTCATTTTTATTTATTTCCGTTCTAGGTCTTTTTCCGGCAAATCAAAATCTTTGTACTTGCAACATTGACATTTACATTAATATTAATATCAACATCAAGCCATTTATTTATTTTTTTATTACCGTAATTTTTTTTAGTCTCTAAGACAGATTCAAACTCTACTAAATAATTTTTTTTATCAGTTTGAATCTTTAAAAAATTTATCAAAAATTTTGATTTTTTGTTTAATTTTTCGCAAAAAAATTTTTATATGGCAATTTTGCCATATTAAATTATTTTATAAATCCATATATGGCCTTAGATGTCCATATATGCATTCTATAAGTCCCACTATGTTCAAACATGGCAATATGGCAAAATTAAAAATTATGACTCCATATATGGCCATATTGCCATATATGATTTTTTTATAAATCCATATATGACCTGAGACGTCCATATACGGCAATATGGCACCATAAAAATTATAAAGACTCCATATACGGCCTTATAAGTTCATACATAGCTCCATATGTCATTATAAAATTTTTATTAGGTCCAATAATGCCCATAAATAGCCATATAATGCCATATCTGGATTGATATGTTCATATATGGCAAAATTTACTCACAAAAAAAATTTTATGCTTGCATATGGCCATTTATAATTCTTTACATGCCCATATATGGCTAAAAATGCCATATATAAGTTGATATGGCCATATATAATTTTTAAAACAAAATAGTTTTAAAAAATTCCGATAGATGGCGCATGGCAGCTAAATATTCTCACTATTAGAAAGTTGAATTTTAAGATACTAATTTTAAATACTCCTAAATTAAATGAAACATTTTAGGGCATTAATATAAAATTTTAAATGATTAATTCTAAGCTTTTACTCATGAAAAATTCTTGTTTATAAAAATTTATAATATATGATGTTTAAAATCAACTAAATATTTGAATAAAATGCAACCTATTAAAATGATAATCAATAAAAATTTTCCGAGCAAACATATAATTTTTTCTAATATAAAATTAATAAAATAAAATATTAAAAAAAACGATTACATAAATAAACATAAAAACCAGTCTGTATTTTGTATGTACAATGTACACATAAATGTAATAAGTACAGACTTAAACCTAATTAAATAAAGCGTATTGACTTAGAAGTAACAATACCTGAGGAGAGGAATAAATAAAATAAAAGGTTGCGTTATATATATATATATTTAATATTAAATACCCTGTCACATATATATAGATTTTTAACGAGTGTACTGAATTTCATAACGTCGGTTAATAATATATATAACACAAGTATATATATATGAGAATCATGAACTCATGACGATAATCATTAATCACACAAAATGAATAATTCCATTTGCGTTTTATTATATATATTTTTTCTCTGATCTTATTACGCATTGACGTGTACAATCAAATTGATTTAGTGTACCTATACGTTAAGAAACAAATGTAATATAGCCATATATATGCTCCTTATACCAAGATTATATATGTTATATGTTGACTGTTGACGTATATATGAGTGTACTTTAGTGCGTGACGCATTTCACCGAGTGTGTATTAAATGTTCTTGGGCTCTTTAAACTTAATAGAGGAAAAAAATTATTTTCTTAATTTAATTTATATCAATGAACCTTTTTGGTTTTTATATTTTTGCGAGACAAAATAATTTATTTTTGTAATTAATTAATTTATTAATTTGAATCAAGTAAATAATTATGAAGATATTTAAATTATTAAGAGAATAAGCAAAATTTTGTGGCCAGTGTATTTATATAATAATATGGGTTTTTATGATTAAATTTGATATCGTTGAAAAAGAATTGACCTGGAATTGTGTCTTTTCTAGTTTTCATTTCATTTTCACCAATAGTCAATTTATTATGATAATTATATAGACTGCATTTTAAAATGCTCTATTTCTAGATACGTAATTAAGAAATTACCTTGTATCTTGTGAAATATTGACATTTTTTAAGATATAAGCTCATCTTGATGCTATATTCATCGAGACCTTTCATTTGAGTACCCACATGAATTTTTCATATATTTCATATATTTATATATATGAATATATGAAAAATATATGAAAATGCATGTAGGTACTCAAATGAAAGCTCTTGATGAGTGTATCATTAGGATGAGCTTATATCTTTAAAAACGTCATTATTCAAGAAAGTAGAAAGCAATTTAACAAAATTCATTATTTAATAACGCAAAATTTTAATTTGTATAGTTCACAAGTCACAGCAGTCACATAGTGACTTCAAAATTGCTGGTTTATATATAAATCAAGTAAATAATTTTGAAGAAGATCATCTTTTTGATTTGAGTAAATTTTTCCTTGATTCAATGTAATTTCTTCTGTGCAATGAAATTATTTTTAAAAAACTACACTCAGCTGAAGAATTTAAATTCTTTTAATTCCAGGATATAAAAATAATATTCTATGTGAATTTCAATTACTTCGAACTTCAAGCAAGTCATTCACCAGGAATTAAATGTTTTCTCACTCACTATTATACTTAATTTAATTCTTATTACAATAATACCTACATACCATTCCTAGTTACTAATTATTTATAAAAAATAAATCGGGTTTTAATAATGGTCATTATAAATCCATGAAAAAAGTGAAACGCATCAATTATAAGTGAAAAAATATTGTAATTTATATTTTTTAATCATTTGATTTTCTTCATACGATAATTATTTAAATTATTGACCGATCTACGCATTAGAATTCAATTAAATGAATATTAATTTTTTTTTCCGTAATCATTAATAGATTATTGTAATTGATATCCTTTTTTTAATTAAATTTCAATTTTTATTGATTATTAATCCTCAAAAAAAACTACTTGGAAGATTTTTTTTTGTATTGAAAATTTTTCGGAATTATTATTATTATTAACTCTCAGCTATTTAAAACATATGCAAATATATACAACGAGTTTGTTATCATATATGATAATGAGCACGTTTGCTCTCGGATCGGCTTTAACAAGATCAATAGATCTTACCACACACACGTATATACATGCAAACACTAGTTTTGGTTTATCTAAACTTAACTATACTCCGCAATCTATGTATAAGTTTATAAATATATTTATTTATTTATTTATATACATGTTAGGAGTGTTTTAAATTTATTGTGAATCAATCAACATCAGCGGTCATGATAATATCTTATTTTATTTGGTATTTAAACGATAACTTGACCTCGGCCCTTCTCGGGTCAAGAAAATCGCCACCTTTGTCAATAAAAATTCAGAAATTATTCAATTTAGCTTCTAATAATTTGATAAAAAATTTTTAATACAATTTTAAAAAGTAGAAAAAAATTTTTGAAGTTCAAATTTTAAAATAAATACCAATAGTCAATTTATTATGATAAATATTTAGGCTACACTCGAGAGTGCTCTATCTCTAGATATATAATTAAGAAACGACCTTGTATCTTGCGAAATATTGACATTTTTAAAGATATAAGTTCATCTTGATGTTATACTCATCAAGACCTTTCATTTAAGTAACCACATCAATTTTTCATATATTTTTCATATATACATATATATATAAATATATAAAATATATGAAAAATTGATGTGGGTACTCAAATGAAAGCTCTAGATGAGTGTATCCTTGGGATGAGCTTATATCTTTAAAAAGGTCAATATTTAAGACGGTACAGTGACTGCAAAATTGCTAGTATCAATTAAAAAAAAAAAAAACTTTTTCAATAAAATGTTCAAATTTTGAAAAAAAACTAATCTTTAAAAATTGAATAATAAAACTATAAAAAGGTTTCTTTTGAACAATAATTGATAAAGATCAACCCAAAATTGACAAAAAGTTTAAAAACTCACCAGAAGAAGGTCTGTCGGAGTACCTGGTGCAGTAAACCCAAGCTGGCCAAAGCATCTGTTTGGAAGAATCCCCGCTCGCAGGTGTACTGGTCAAACTAGCATTAGTCGTCGAGGGACTGTTTAATTGCGTGCTCCCCGTCGCGGAGTGACCCGAACCATTATTACTCCCATTACAACTAGAATTGTTATTAACATTACTACTATTACTACTACAACCATTATTTCCCAAATCAGAAGTGAGCACTTTGTCCGAGGAGCTTTCAGTGCCCGATTCCAAAAACTCTTTGGTGAGATCAATAGGCTTTTGAGCAATCTTTTTTCCCCTTGACTTTTTAATCGAAATAGGATCAGTGATCCTCCGTCCGAAATCAGCCTTCAAAATATTGTCTATGCTAAACTTAAGATTCCCTTGAATGTCATTATTATTCCCATTATTCCTATTCCTATGATGATGATTATGATTATTGCTATTACTATTACTATGATTGCTGTTGCTGTTACTGTGATTGCTATTACTACTATGATTACTATTTGCCAAATTGTTCCCCACAGGAGGAGGTTCCTCATCACTGATCTGCGGACTCTTGGAATCCCTGGCAATGAGCTTGCTGATGGACAACCTGTGTTCCTGCTCTTTCTGGTGGTGATGATGGAGCATAGAAGCAGTGGCATGATGCTGAAGGAGATTCCCATGAAGCGGAACCGGGTGAAGCAGCAACGAGGTCTCCCTCAAGTCCCTGCAAGCCGGCCTGAACACAGAACTGGCTAAAGGAACAGCAGCAGTTGGAGGCGACAGCCTAGTTACAATTGGAACAGCACCCAGCCGATGATGCAGCCGGTTCTCAATTGCCGAAAAAGCAGTCTCATGCCCCCCCAAAGCAACCCTGGTGAAATCCAACTCAGATTCCCGACTGGCATAGCGGCTGAGCAAATGTTGCTGGCTGATTCCAGACATCTGGTACCGGGACACAATTGCTTCATGAAGGTCCCCTTGAACTGGAGAAGAAGCTTGCGTAGCATGCGAAGAAGCTGGAGATCTAATCGAAGGCGTTGGAGAAGAAGCTCTCTGCAAGCTGCAGGAACTTTGTGGACTTGGTGGCTGGTTGCTCGCTGATCCGCTTGATGGCGACGGCGAGGGAGTTCGCGATGAGGAGAAACTCATGGCTTCAGTCTGGTAATCCAACCGGGAAGACGTATTTGGCATTGAATCGACGTTGTGATTGTGGTTGAAATTGGTGTTGTTGATTATATGATTGGGAGCAGAATTTTTGATATTGTCCGTCGCGGGAGTAGGCTCGCTTCCGACGCTGAGTACTTCACTGGTTTCACTGGCGCAGTCGGACATCTGGTCCTTGTCACTGGTATCCATTCGAGGGTCATCGTCCAGGTGCCCCGTTCCCGTTCCCGGAGCGCTGTTCACACGAAAGTGCTCCACTTCCATTTTAAATGGTGCTGCACTAATCACTTAGTCCTTCACTTAGGGTCTAATCCGCTGGCTTTTAAAGACATTCCGATTAGAGTTTTTTGGTAGCTCACATCCCTTTTTGATCGACACTAAACAAACGGAAATTAACATTCCAGAAAAGGAATTATAGTCCCGCACTTCACAGTCTAATTCATGACACTTTTGGGTCCTAAGGACGCTAAATTACACTGATCAAAAAAGCTTTAGATAGAACTTTTGGGTATTTTGATAAAGTTGGAGATCGTGGGGAATTAATGGACGCGACACGTTGGTACGGAGCGTGGTACAATCGCTGGTATCCACTTGGTTGTCGCGGTACGTCTGCTGGTGAGAGACGTTGGAGGGCCGGCGAGGGGCGTTTCGGGGAGGCGCCACTTGGAAACACCCGCCAAGCCCACTGGTACCTCCAGACCACCACATCTCCTGGGTTAGGAGCCCATTGATCGAGCGCCGCCCATGTTAGTGGTCTTTGTTTTGGACAGTGGGAGCAGGTATTGCTTGCTCTGTTGGGTTGGAAGATTGAAGAAGAAGGGGCTGGAGTAGATTGAGTGGGAAAAAAGCAACTTGATGTTAAGCAAAGGTGGTGGCTACGTCCCTTTTTTGCCAAGATCATTCTCGGCTCCTGGATCCTGGTTATCATGGCCAGGTGACTACTCCCCTTACTTGTAATTGTTCAGGTTTTATACCTTGTTTATTTTTTTCAAGCTGATGATACTCGCTGACTGTTTTATATCCTAATCAATTTTGATATTTTTATTTTCACAAGGATAATACTGATCTTCCGTTTTTTTCAACTGAAGTCATCAACGCTTGATTGTATGTTATTACACAGGCTTGACATTGAAATTGTTTCGACTTTTTCTCTTACAAATGTCTTCAGAAGCTTCTCAATTCAATTCAAATTTGGAATTTGTTCAATTTTTACCAAAATCAAACCTCTCAAACTAAATTTCCAACTTTTAGGTCCAAAATTTTGAGATTCAATTCAAAATCTTTCAGTTGTCATCAACTTGCTGCGTCGACTATTGATTGTAATTGATGGTCACTACAATTGTTAACAATTCAATCCTTAGTAATCATATGGTAAGTTACCAAAAGAAGTTATAGTAAGCTTTCCAAGTCTTGTCATCAACTTGCAGCCAGTACGCCAGTAGCTGGACAGGGAAATGCAGTTCCTACTTTATCAACCAAATTTTCTCTTGGAAAGCTAGAAACTTAACTTTGCAGCATCTTCAACGGTCGGTATGACAGAATACTTTTTTTTTACCGACTGCATTATTATAGGCTGGATATGTAGAATTTCATAAAAATTGACATTATTGGTTGAAATTGCAGAATTTTTAACATCGAAAACTACCATTTAAGCTTTATCAAAGAATTTAGATCATTTCAACTATAACTCTGTTAATTTTTATAGGAAAAAAAGTAAAGTAAACTTTTTGATCTGAAATTTTAAGTTCTATAACTTTTGTTCCAAGCTTTTTTTATATACTTACCGTTTTTGTAAAATTTGAAAAAAAAAATTAAAAAATAGATTTTTTTGCAAGTTTTAATTATTTAAGAGAACAAATTAGGAATCAGGAGAAGAAATAACTAAAAAAGAGATAAACACAGAATGTTATTTATTATGTTTCTTGGTCCTCTAAACATTTACAATTTTTACAACAAATAGGCGCCACAACAGATTAGTATTACATTTACAATTACAATTACAATCATAATTATCATTTTTATGTTAAAAGTGTCTTGTATGTTTAATCATCCGTTTTCTGGCAAGTTTCAATCTACAAGTTACCAAAATTATTCTCCATAGCAAAAATACATCTCCATTCCTGGCCGTCTATTCAAACTCTACTATCAAATTCATATTTGAGTAATTATTCTGTTTATACACATGCAGTACTGGTGTTCATTTCAGAATTGACATCAAGATACGCTCTTTGTGAATTTCCAGTGTTTTGGACAACACTCTAGTTATACTTTCTGTTTGCACTTCTCGGAGAGCTGCTTTGACAGTACAGTATTGTTTTTTTTTTCAAAATTTTCAAAAGCTTCATTGGTTTCTACTGTTTTTGGTTTTACGCTACTTTATTACGAGCACCTCTATGTAGTTTCTCAATATCGTCTTTTTGACGGAATTTGTGTGCGCTTAGACCACATTATTTAGTCGTTATATTACAGTTACAATTATAGTATAATATTTTTATTAGTCGCCATTAATTCCAGCCGCTTTTTTTCTTTTTTTTTGGCTGTCAAAAATTTATTTTTGACAATCATATCTTCAATTTTTTTCTTTTTTTAAAAAACTTAGCAATTTTTGAACACTTCAAAAAAATATCTCCAATTTTTTTATTGAAATTTCCAAAAATTTAGTCTTCAAATTTGATCATTTTTTTATTGAAAAATTTTTTTTTAAAGAAAAAAAATCAAAAATTACTATAAATTTTTTAACTTCAAATTTCTAAGTAAAAATTTTTTATTTCAATTAAAATTCAATTTTTTTCAATCTACAATTTTCGTAAATGTTCAATTTAATTATTTTATTTTTTTTTTTTAAATAAAATTGACAATTTTTCATTTAAATTTCTCAAAAAATTAACTCAAATAATTTTTTTTAATGCCCAAAAAATTTTTTTAGTGTCCAAAAAAATTGTAAAAAATTTTTTTTCCAAAAATATCAACTTTAAGAAATGAAATAAATTTTTTCCAGCCAAAAATAGAAAAAATAGTGGCTTTACTGAGTACTAGACAAATAATGAGTCACCAAATAAATGCCAAAGACGACATTTATGCAGGTTATATATCAAATATACATTATATATATATATATATATATATATATTATATATTATACTCATAAAACAGTGTATAAGTTATAGTAATAATCTAAAGAGTAACACGTACATCTAATGGAATTAAGTCTCTTTGAAGTAGATTGATGCTAAATGCCGTAGTCGCTTTACTTACTTCAATAATAATTAAACCTACTCTTACTTTCAATTATAAACTATAAATACGTAAATTCAATAATTTGTATTTTTTATTTTATTATTATTACTGGGTATGCTTTGTAATAAATAAAGTTAATATAAAAAATAATCCGAACGAATAGTTGTTAATGTGACGGTGCCTGGACCAGCCAGAGTACCCTTAGAATAATATTCAATCATTTTTTACTTACTATTTTTTGGATTATAAATATTTGTTTTTTTTTTTTATTTTTTTTTTTTGTTTACTTTTCGGTGGTAGTGATTTAGATTTTACATAATGCTGCAGAACGCAACTCCGTTCTCAAATGCTGACTGGATGGCTGTTGTTTCCATGCAGAATGCACCGTCCTCGTACATTGTGGCGAGTCTTTGTTGTTGGGCGCGACTTTCGCTTAATGATCTGGATTAAATCGGCTTTTTTAATTTTTTATGCCAGGTGTTAAAAAAAGTTAGTTCCGGGAAAAAATTATAAACTTTGGCATGAAAAAAAAATATCTTTTTGGTAAATTTAAAGTTTGAGTCAAAAAAATAATATTCTGGGTTAAATATTGAATCTTTTTCAAAAAAGTCCTTATCAATTTTTTTATATCTCTTATCTTTGAGCCAGAGTATCAATATAGAGCCCTTTAAATATTTTTATTGAAATTAAAACTAAAAAATTCATCTATAAATTTTTAAAATCAAAAGTCTAGGTTAAATTTTGGAAATATCAAAAAATTACAAGATATTTTTTGTAATAAACTTAATTTACTACAATAAAACTCCTTATAAATTTTTTTATTTCCTATTCTTTAGCCAGAATATTAATATAAAGTCCTTAAAATATTTTTATTGAAATTAAAACTCAAAAATGTATCTACAAAATTTTTAAATCAAAATTCTAGGTTCAATTTTTTCATATCTCCTATTTTCCAGCCAAAAAATCAATAATGAGTTCAAATAAAATTTTTAATTGCTCAAAACTGAAAAATTTCTCTATAAAATTTCAAAATCAAAAAATTTTGGTTAAATTTTGGAAATATCAAAAAATTATGAGACATTTTTTTGTAAAAAATTAAATTTTCTACAAGAAAGGTCATAAATTTTTTCATATTTCTTTTTCTTACGCTCAAATATTAATGTAAGGTTTTAAAAATATTTTAAAATAAAAAATCAAATTTTAAAGTTGCAAAAAAATAATAAGTAACATTTTTAGTACAAAATAAAATAAATTTAAAAGGAACATTAAACAAAATAAAGTATTCAAATTTTCAACATAAATATACAATGGTATTTTCAAAGCCAGTTAAACTTATTGACAAAGATAAATTATTCAGGCATTCAACATTTATCCTCTAGTGACTAAAGCTCCCGTTTATTCGTATTTATGTCTGAATAATGAATCCTCGGTAGTAAATAAATAATACAATGGTAAACAATTCCACTAGAAGCAATTCTACCCGCACAAAAAAAAGGCAATAAAACTATACAACTGCTAATTAAATTTCGCGACTAAAAATCGAAGCGACTTAGACATTTATAGCTTACTTATTATTTAATACTCTTGCCGTCCCTTCCCAGAAGTTATAAATTTACGATGTCTTATACTCGAGAAAGTCTTAAAATCGATCAGTTACTTAATGAACTTTTTCTATACAAGCTACACGGAAAGGGAGTTCACTATAATTCCGACTAGCGGAAAATTTATTCCTGTTAACCTTGTTATTGAACGATTCATCAATTTTCAATGCTTCTATGCCTCTAAAGACTTAACATCCATTATGTATTATGCTTTTATAAAATTCTGAAAGCTTCTCTAACTTATCCCCAATATGCATTTTAGTTTAAAAAAAATTTTTTGCAAAAATATTTCTAATCTTCAAAACAATCGATTAATTCTTTGAGCTACGTGCGTAGCAGAAGAAATATCTCAAGAATAAAATTTAAATATTTATCAGGTTTTTATTTGACAGAAAAAGTCTAAATAAACCCGAGTCGTGTCACAGATGCCACAAGGGTCGCTCTTATCAAAAAGTCCCTTTGGGAGAAACATCAAGACGGTATGAATTTTTTTTACTAATCGATATTCTTCAGATTCAAGTGTGAAAATATAAGAATACTTTTTTTGTATATTGAAATTTATTTAATTTAATATAAAGAAAAATTTGTTTAATTATTAAGAAAAATTCAGAAATTTATTAATAAAATTTTCAACTAAAAATTCTTAAGTAGGAAGAATGTCGTTACACCCCCTCTTTCTCTTTAGAGAAAAAAAATTATTTTTATGTAAAATAGTGAATTTATTATCTTTATTTTAACTTCGAAATTTTTTTTTAAGAATTAATTAAAAATAAAAATTTTATCATAATCGAGACTTTAAATGGATGTATTGAGAAGTTCCTTGACAAATTTCAATTGAATTTATAAATTAGAACTTAATATTAACATTGAAAGCTCTGAAAATTAATATTTATAGTTTGAATTTAGAAAAATGTTATTACGAACTGTAATTATTCTAGTTTTTAACACGATGGGTCACTTATTATTATTTATAATGTAATTTTTCGAGTTTTTTTTTTTGTGTACCTATAAGTCATCCTATTATTCATCATAAAATTTTAATGTACCAACCATTTTAATTATTAACCCTGTTAATGGTCTAAGCTCTTGGATTTGTTCATTTAAATAAATAAAAAAATAAATAAATAAAAATAATAAATTACCTTGGACTCATAGCGCGCAATTTCTGCTGCTTGACATGTTTTTTCATAGCACGTGTACTGAATCCCGTGTGATCATTTTGGCCATTGGTGTGAAGACTGCAGGTACCATTGAGACCTCCGCAGGGTAGTAGAAAAGCATTGGGGTTCGCGAAGGGAATTGCGGTGTCGTTGGTCGCAGTAGAATCTGACCATGGCGGCGGCGGGGTGTGGGACCTGACGAGCATCGCGTACTTGTGGCAGAGGTAATCCTCGTAAGACGGCGGTAATCCGTTCTATCCAATATTATCATCATAATTAACATTATCAAATGTGTTATTAATTACTAATTACTGTTAATTAGCACAATCATAATCAGGATGATTATAGGTGATGTGATGATAATGAAATGACTAATCAGGATAAAGTATAGACGAGGGATAAAGGAAAGAGGGGTTGATCAAACTCGACCTAATTTTGTCTCCATTATTTGCAAAGTAAAGTTTAAACAAATGCTGCAAGCTCTTGTAATTATAATTAATAATGATTTTTAGCGAGCTGATTTTGCGCATGTAAAGATTGATCGGGAGAGACGTACATGCCAAGGATGCGATACATGGAAAATTACTCGAGTACTGAAGTAATTAAGTTAAATCGAGTGTAGCTAAGTGGAGGAGCTGACACTTAGACTCTTGTATCTTGTAGCTTGTATGGTGCTTGTATTCCTGAGAAAGGAAGTACAAGCAGACAAGAACTCGGAGGAAAGTTCGAGCACTGCTTCAAGCTCCAACTCGTCAGTCTGATCAGCTTTGTTACTTAAAACTTCGGAAAGTAGTCGAGTAGTTTTATTGATTATCTGTAGTATCGTTTTCCAAATTTAATTGACCCGCGTGGTGAATTATTTTTATGTATTATATAATTTAATGGACGGGAAAAAGAAAAATTACATTATATAATGTAAAGGTGGCGCATCCGTAGAGAAAATTGGAAAAATTGCAATTTTAAATTGTAATTATTACATTAAATTTTGTTATGTAATTTTTCCATTTGTCTTTTTTCCGTGTACGAGGTGGCTAACTTTTTATACTGTAAAACTTCACGTAGATTATTATATTTATTATTGAGTTGCGCAAAGTTGAGTTTAATTGAAATTAGGTTGTCATTTGGGAGATACAGATGGAGAAAAAGTTTGGCGGGGCACCAGAATAATAAGTTGGCACAGCTTCAAGTTTTGTTTGAGAGACACTTGGAGTTTAGTTTGGGTGTATTGGAATTGGATTAGGGGGTTGGTTCCTGTCGTTTTTTTTAAATACTCATGTTTAATTTAGTAGAAAACGGTGAGCTTTTTGGTTGAGTCTTTGAATTTTTATTAATACTTTTACGTCATTCATTTGAAATTTTAATTTTTTTACTGGATTAGAGAGATGAAAGAGTGAGTTGATTTTTTTTTATTTTGAGGTCATTTTTTGTTTTTTAATATTAAATAAAAATTTTAAAAATTTAATGCCTATTATTATTATTATTATCATATGATATAATAGGTTTTTTTTAGAGAAATTGAGACTTAAATGTATGCCTTCTCAAGGTTTCATATCATTCTTACCGATAATCAATTTATTATAATAAGTATTTAGGCTGCAGTCGAAAATGCTCTATCTCTAGATACGTAATTAAGAAATGACCTTGTATCTTGAAAACTATTGACATTTTTAAAGATATAAGCTCACCCCGACATTACACTCATCAAGACCTTTCATTTGAGTACCCACATCAATTTTTCATATATTTTATATATTTATATATATCATATATATATATGTATATATGAAAAATATATCAAAAATGCATGTAGGTACTCAAATGAAAGGTCTTGATGAGTATAACATCGAGATGAGCTTATATCTTTAAAAACATCAATATTTAAGAAAGTACAGTGCAATTTAACAAAATTCATTATTTAATAAAGCAAAATTTTAATTATTTATAGTTCATAAATTTTTATAGTTATTATTATAAAAATAAAAAAAATGTAAATTAATTAATAAATACTTTATATAAAAATGATATTAAAAAAAAAATAAAATAAAAAGGTAAAAGCGACAACAATATTTGAGCATCCAACTCAAGAGTAACGTTATCTAGTCACTAAATAAAAATCGATGAAACGTTTCCATTCACAGTCGCAGTAAAGCCAAATAAACGACTATAAGAGCCAGATAATAATATAAATGAAAAAATCTATCTGGCTCTCACGTTATTAATGGGACGAAAAAAAATAAAACAAATGATTATAAACAGGGTGGAGTGAGATGAAGATGAATATTGTGATTATTTCATTCATCAGGATTCGATTCTTGTATCAGATAACAAGGAAGTAAAACGCAAACATAAAGGCTAATAGATACGATAAATAATAGTAGTAGTTTATTTATAAAGGGGGCCAGATGAGGGCTGAAGAGGGAGGGAAGACAGATGATGCGATGGATTGATATCTGAGAGGGCATTGTATTTACCTGCCAAGATTTATTGATAGCGACATCATAGGTGGGCGGCGGTGATGTCATCGAAGGAATCGAATACACCGGATGGGAATAATTGTGAGCGTTTTGGTTTTGATTCTGATTCTGGTTTTGATTAAGTAAATGGGTGTCGTGTATTGTGTTCATATTCCCACTGGTGTTCGGTATTTCGGGGACTGTTTCGTAGGCATGTTCTGTCACCTCGCGCGACAGACTGCTCATTGCATCTGATTGCATTGCAAATTTTAAATTTATTAATATTCTTATTTTAAGAATTTTATTTAAATAAAAAATTATAGTATCAATAAAAATTACATTGAAAAAAATTACTTGATCTAAAAAAAAACTTTCTTAAGAATTTAGGAGAAAAATTTTTAAAGTGAAAAATTTTTCTAAATTCAAGATAAAAAAAATTTTTTTTTTTAAGATACCTTGTATCTTAAGAACTATTGACATTTTTAGAGATATGAGCTCACCCCGACACTACACTCATCAAGACCTTTCATTTGAGTACCCACATCAATTTTTTATATATTTATATATTTTATATATTTATATATATGTATATATGAAAAATATATCAAAAATGCATGTGGGTACTCGAATGAAAGCACTTGATGAGTGTACCATTAGCATGAGCTTATATTTTTAAAAACTTCAATATTTAAGAAAGTACAGTGTAATTTAACATAATTAAGAAACGACCTTGTATATTATGAACTGATTGACATTTTTAAAAATATAAGCTCATCCCGATGTTACACTCATCGAGACCTTTCATTTGAGTACCCACATCAATTTTTTATATATTTATATATATGTATATATGAAAAATATATCAAAAATGCATGTGGGTACTCAAATGAAAGCTCTTGATGAGTGTAACATCAAAATGAGCTTATATTTTTAAAAACGTCAATATTTAAGAAAGTACAGTGCATTTTGACAAAAGTAATTATTTAATAAAGCAAAATTTTATTTTTTTTTAGTACAAGGTTGCTAGTTTTAATTAATCCAATAATTTTTTTCATTGCTCAAAAATTATTTAGTTCTTTTGAAATAATTTTCTTCGCTAAAAATATTTTTTTTTTATCAAAAAAAAATTAAAAGTCTAATAAATTAAATTACAAATTACCAATATAGGTGTAATGAGAGCCGACCCTTTCAGCGCTGCGAGTCCGCCTGGAAGAATTGATCCTGCGGTCGGGTTTCTTCGGGTTTTTTTCTACCCTGACCTGATCCCCGGAACTAGAGCACCCAGTATCAGACCGAAGTTTCGAGCTCTGACCGTTGTCATGGCGTTTCTTTGACCGTGATTTGGACTCGATGTCGCGAGCTTTCTCCACGAGGTAGACGAGGTCCGCCAATCTCTTGTGCTCGTCGCAGTAGGCCTCTTCTTTCTGCGAGGGCGACAAAACGTGATTGCGCGAGTGCGAGTACTTCAGTTCGTTCTCCTCGCCCCCTTCTTTTTTGGCAGACACCCCGCGGCGCCAGGTTGAAGTTTCGTGAGATTGATTTGTTTTACTGGGCTTGATTGGGGTTCCATACTGCTGAGTGTCGTTCGGCATTCTGGAACAATTTTTTAGTAATTTATAATACCTATTTTTAATTAATTATTATTAAATTTAAAATCAACAATCCAATCTACTTGATTAATTATTCAATAAGGCTTTCAATTAAAAGCTCCTTTCAATATCTTGACCTATTTTTTAATTCTGTAGAGACTTTATAATATATTTAGTAATTATTATTAGAATTTCAGAAAAAATTTAATCATAATTAATAAGATTTATTAAATATTAATCAATTATGTTTTCATTATAATTAATTAATAAATTAAATTTTAAAATAAAAAATTAATAAGGATTTATTTAAGCGAAATTTAAATAAAATTTTTACTCATTAATTTAACAATTAATGTAATTTAATTAATAGAAAAAAATTTTCTTTTCAATAAATTTTAAAGGAAATTAATTTTTAATTGTTAAAAATCATTCATTTGAATTATTAAATTAAAAATTTGTATAAAAATGAAGTTAACCGACGTTTCAAAATTTTTAGAAATTTTTTATTGAAAAAATTTCAATTGAATAATTAAAAAAAAAAATTGTCACATGTAAAAAACTTTAAAAACTATAAGTGCAATTTTTTATAGATATCTGTTTAGTTATAATTTAATTAATAAAAAAAATCAAAAATTTTTCTTCTAACTTCAGTGTCATAAATTTGTATTGAAATTTGATTTAGACGTATTCTCACTGATAGCCAATTTATTATGATAATTAATTAGGCTGCATTCAAAAATATTCTATCTCTAGATACATAATTAAGAAATCACCTTGTATCTTGAGAACTATTGACATTTTTAAAGATATAAGCTCATCTTGGTGTTACACTCATCGAGAGCTTTCATTTGAGTACCCACATCAATTTTTCATATATTTTATATATTTATATATATATTATATATATGTATATATGAAAAGTATATCAAAAATTCATGTGGGTACTCAAATGAAAGCTCTTGATAAGTGTAACATCAGTATGAGCTTATATTTTCAAAATATATATTATATATATGTATATATGTAAAATATATAAAAAATGCATGTGGGTACTCAAATGAAAGCTCTTGATGAGTGTAACATCAGGATGAGCTTATATCTTTAAAAACATCAATATTTAAGAAAGTACAGTGCAATTTAACAAAATTCATTATTTAATAAAGCAAAATTTTATTTATTTACTTGACATATCACGGCAGTCACATAGTAACTGCAAGTTTGCTGAATAAATTTTTTTATAATCATAATAAAATTTTATTTAATAAATATAAATCTAAAAATTTAACTCAAATGCCAAATTTTAATAAATAAAATTCACCTCAAGGCATCAAGAATATTTTTCAGTCTCAGAAATTTCCATAAAACTTTCCCCGTGAAATTCAATAGAGAAACCCGAGGCAAAATAAACAAATTATTCTCCGAAGGGCTTCGAGGGAAATTGAAAACTGCAAATCGAATGCCGGGTTGCGAATCTTTTTTTCTCAAAAAAAAAAAAAAATATTTAATAAGACCTTTTAATAAAATGAGATGTGTTTTTATTATCCTAATTAAACGTTTCTAAAGCCGACGTTAATGTCAACGCTTTTGAATAAATTAACAAAAAAAATTAGAGCATGTGTACTTAAAAAAAAGAAAAATAATTCAACGCTGAATTAATTAAGTGCTTTTGAGAGTGGCGACAATGTTAATTATAAAAAATTTCGTTAATTAACTTAACCTGGACTATTTCAATTCAATTACAAATATTCCTAGTGAATAGTTATTAATTGCCTGGGCTTTTCTTCAAGTTAAAGAAGGAGAAAAGGAAAAGTTTATATTGAGAAAATTATCGGGGGATTTGATCGAGAAATAAATCTCTTATCTTATCCGAGAGAAAATGAAACCCCTCTCGGGATATAGGTCGCGAAAACAGGTCGAAGACCGAAGGAAGCAGGTCATACCGGGCTAAAGTAGGTCATCAACCGATATATGCGTTTATTATGACACGGTGCATCGCCCAGCCTGGAAACTAGGGCATTTCCTTATTCCTACTCCTACTTTATTTCTATACAGTTATTACCCCCGTTGAGTAATTTTATGTAGGTCATAAATATATTTAAGTTATGTCGCAATAATATTTCGAGTTAATTAAGTATAAAGTATATTATTTATTATTTGAAAAATAAAAATTTCTTATTAAATACATAATTTTAATATAGTGGACACTCAATTATCTCGTTAAGCTCGTAAATAAATTTATTTTACTCCGATTAGGGATTTTTTTTTGTATTAAAAAATTATAAATTAATAACTTGAAATAATAGTTGCGAAAATTTAATTTAAGCCAGGTATTACACTCGCTCCAGCTTTAATGCTTCCTATTTTATTGTCAGTGTATTATATCCTTAATTCGCTGTTCGAGGGATTGGAGCTGAGCTTTTACTCTCTGGAATTTTTGTTGTGAGATTTACGGAGAATTTTATTAGTTTTTTTTTAAAGAATGTGAAATTTTTATTGTGATATGTTGAGAATTTTATTTTTATAGGATTTTTCTTGTAGCTTATACGGGAAATATTGATCGTAAAAAATTCCTTATTCATACCAGCGTAGTAGAAAATTAAATTTCCTTTCCAACGACCTCATTCAGGGCTAATTGTCTCCATATCGTTTAGAAACTTTAGAGCTTAATTTTCCAATCATTTGATTTAACCTTTGTAATGATAATAATTGAGAAATTACCTTGTATCTTGTGAACTATTGACATTTTTAAAGATATAAGCTCATTCCAAGGTTACACTCATCGAGACCTTTCATTTGAATACCCACATCAATTTTTGATATATTTTATATATTTATATATATTATATATATGTATTTATAAAAAATATATCAAAAATGTAAGTGGGTACTCAAATGAAAGCTCTTGATGAGTGTATCATCGAGATGAGCTTATACCTTTAAAAACTTCAATAATTAAGAAAGTAAAATGCAATTTATTATAATTAAGAAATGATCTTGTATCTTGTGAACTGTTGACATTTTTAAAGATATAAGCTCATTCCGATATTACACTCATCGAGACCTTTCATTTGAATACCCATATAAATTTTTCATATATTTATATATATCACATATATTTATATATATTACATATATATATTTATGAAATATATATCAAAAATGCAAGTGGGTACTCAAATGAAAGGTCTCGATGAGTGTAATGGCGGGATGAGCTTATATTTTTAAAATATATATTATATATATGTATATATGAAAAATATATAAAAAATGCATGTGGGTACTCAAATGAAAGCTTTTGATGAGTGTAACATCGGGATGAGCTTATATTATCAAAAACGTCAATATTTGAGAAAGTACAGTGCAATTTAACAAAAATCATTATTTAATAAATCAAAATTTCATTTATTTACTTTACAAATCACAGCAGTCACGTAGTGACTGCAAGGTCGCTAGTAATAATAATAATCATAATAATAAAAAGAAAATTATAGGTAAATCGAAATGAGAATTGTCAAGCATTGAAACCGTATTAAAGAAACGTCAACTCAATGGCATCCCAGGGTAGACTGAAAATAAAATAAAAAAAATTAGGGATGAAATCCCGCGGATAAAACAGCTAAATCAGAGTTCACTCAGAGCGAGGATAGGAGTTTTGCTGTGTGAAACCAGGTCAGACTCGGGTCACTGAGCCCCTACACACGTTAGCATCAACCAGAGTTTGCCACTGACACATTCAACATCCAACATATAATATCCACCGAATCCATTTCGCCTATTCTTATTATTCACCCACCGCCATTGCCATTTCATCCCAATGTATATATTAATTCTCGCATTGTTAAGGTATTTTTGGCTTCATTTGTTCCTACCAATTTCAGTAACAACAACAACAATAATTATTTACATCATTCTCATACCGGCAAAAAGCTAACGTCCCATTTGTTACTCTGTCCGAAAAATTCCGAGGTCAATTTATTCGAGAGGCTAAAAAAAATGTCATTAATCTCTTTTCTCCATTTCATTTCATTTTATTTTACTTTTTTACGCTAAAATTTCAAAGGAGTCGCTAAATTGATGGCGAGTTTGACCCTGCAGAGCAGAGAGTACTTAGTAAGTGTATAATTTAAAAAAAAAAAAAAGTTTCTTTAATAAAAAAAAAATCAATGTGTTTGCACGCGTGGAGCTTCATATCACGTTAAACAGACGTTTCGCCTGCATACGCTTTTTAATTTTTTCATCTTTTGGAGCCGAGACAGGAGACCTAGTATGTATATGCACTACTGGATGTAATACCGTGTGTACTCACACATACAAAAGTGATGCACTTCTTTAAAGTCTACGTACATATTTATTTACTTTTTTTTTGTCTTTATCCGAGCCGTGCACTAGACATTTTGTCGACAAGCTTTTTTGCAGGTAACCGTAGACATAAAATGACTGTGCACTTTATTTGAATGAGCTTTCACCGCCTAGTTTTTTTTTTTTTATTATTACATTTTATTTTATTAAATGTTTTTTGGAGTTTTACTATTGAATCCATAATTTTCGGAAACATTACTAAAAAATTTATCCTCGTAAATTTTTATCACTCTGAATATAACGCTTTTAAGACGGAATAAAAGGCAATAAAAAAATCTACCGCCGATGTATACATACATTTAGTTGAGTTTATTTTTCTTGTTGACAGTTTTCATGGAACGTGAATTTTTTTTTGTTTATTATGAATATTTTTTTATGGAGTAATATATTGCTCGATCAATATTTATAAGAAAAGCCATTTCAACGGATTCTGTTTGTTTTTAATTTACGAAGCTTTATATTTTTTAAATTCGGGGGATAATTTACGGGAGTATAAATTTTGTGTTCTTTTCAGAGATATTAATTATTTGAACAGCTATTTATAGGAATTTTTATTTCAATTTTCAAGAAAAATAAATTTTTGATACATAATCTGGCTGTGGTTTTTATTAATAATTTATGGAACAAAATATAGTTACTTTTTTT